TAAGTACCCAAAAAGGGACCATAATTCTGACAACCACCCATATGGAAGCACCCACACATTTACATGAACGTTCAAGGAGAAGCCCCAATATACGTACCATGTTCAGTCAGGGGTGCTTCGGTACGCTGTAGGAGCAGCATAACTACACAGGGAGATCACGTCGCAATCTCGGACTTTGACTGCCAAGTAGAACGACTCCTGAGTTGATCTGTGATGCGGCCTTCCGTCTCGCCCACCATGGCTGCCAGCGGTGCAATTGCCTGCGCAACAGGGAATGTGGGTCTGTTTCTCTGTTCTTTCTGACCTGAGCTGTGTAGTAATAGCAGCAACGCTAGAATGATCCCAATCATGATGGGAAAGACGATTCTGGTTGTCTTGACTAATGTCTGGACAACGGCGATGACAATGAGCAAGGCTTTCGCAATGACTGCACGGATTCTAATGATTCCCATGGTAAAGATGACGAATACGTGCACGACCCCTCTAGCCGTGAAGCACTAACTGCGACAGCGACGACGATACGACGCTATGTAATTAAGTGATGTTGCTATCAACAGTGCTGCTACCCAGCACGCCATCGCCAGCACGACCACAATCAGCATCACCGTCCCTGTTCCCGTGCAATCCCTTCACTCACGACAACATGCCATTTGCTACGTCATACCCACACAACAGACAATGAAGTTGCGACGGCAGAACCACAACGACCACCACGCAGACCAGCTGCGCTGGAAATATGACTACTACCCAGCGTGCCATCAACGAAAAATCGTCAAAGGCTTAAGCTGCAGATATGGGCTTGCAGAAGCTACCACAACTCTGCGAAGGGCGAGTTCCACATGACCTTCGGCGATACAAGTGGACCATCACAGCACCCAAACATCTCAAAAGCAAGACCTGAAGCCTCAGAAATGTAAAAGCGCAAAGCTGGAAACAGGCTGCCAGCAGTGTAATAGCAAAGAGTCAGCGGCAGCGAATGTAAACAGAGCAGTGGACTCAGCGACCATCGAGCTAAGCTCCCCGCATCAACGCCAGCAGGCTAGTTGCCCGGCTAGGCAATCGGGTCATTAGCGGAAGAAGTTGTTTAGGGGCTTAGGCTAGGGCTGTGTGGTGGTGGTCGTGGTGGGTGGTGGTGGGTGGTGGTGGGGGGTGGGCAGTGGTGGTGGTAGTGGTTAGGAAGCAGTGGTCCGGAATGGCTTGAGGGCTCGGGTAGTGAGGGGTAGAAGGGCTGAGTTGAGGTGTTGGTGATGTTGAAGCTTTACAGATACACTTCTCGGGGTTCAGCTCCTTCTCTCATAGTAGCGATTCGGCTTGGACGTGGCAGGCTTGACTACTTCGGGCAGACCATGAGAAGCCCATCTCCATGGACCGGTACTAGGCCCTTCCAAAGCCAAGCAGGGGCCCATGGGCGACGGCGACGGCGGTTCGCACAGCTACACTGGCGAGGATGATGATGATAATGATGATGATGATGAATGGTGAGGGTGATGATTCGGGAACCCCCAAAACAATATAATCAGCGATCAGGTATGGAAGAGCTGCACCAGCAACGGACCAGGGATCAGCGCACAGCAGTATGCATTGCTATGCCGGGAACTGCCTGCCTATCCATATCTGATACACGTACGCACATCCATGCATCCATGCATAGGTGCATGCATACATACCTACATAATGACATGCCGACCTACCCGCCCACCTGCCTGCCTGCCTACCTACTTACATGCATACAGCATACATGTACTTTCCTTCATCACAGACAAGGAGAATGGAAAGTCACCAAGCTTCATAACAGCTTGAGGAGAAATTCCCCTTGATGCCTGCATCACTTACCAACGTGACATCTCTCGCTCTCTCTCTCTCTCTCTCTGTCACTCTCTCTGCGTGTGTAACACAAAGATGTGCACACAAATATGCACATTGCCAAACACTCTATGCTCAGTTCTCATTGGCTCATGCAGTCTTGTACATTGTAGGGCCAACTCGCGCCATCTTTCTGCACAGTCAACATGGCCGCAGCCCTCTTCGGTGGCTGGAACCTTGACCAGGGCCCTCTTGCCACTCGAACTACTTCACAGCCTCGGCACCACGATATGGGATTGAAACCCCTAGCAGAATACCGAAGCAACTCCGAGCGTCCATCTTCAGCACTCTTCTTCAAGGCCTCTAAGTTACAGTGCACCTACAGGTCCTACCATGTAACAACTGCCTTACACTGCCAAAGAGATCGCAAAACCTGCCATCTGGTCACGCAGAAAAGTACCTTAATACGGATACAAAGGTATAATCTCCGCCCTGATCAGTCCTAGTAGCCACTTAGTAAAAGGCAGGAGCAAAGAGGTCCAAGGTCTGTCCGCCAGTCTCTCGCCAATGGGCTGCTGGGCCATCCCCCGGCGTAGTCTTGTCTTGTGATAGCAAACGGAGCTCGGAAGGAGTTGGGCTCGGAAGACACTGCGTGACACAATGGAAGGGTTATTCAACCATAAACTCCTTGAACTATGCTTCCATGGAGGATGTTTGATGCCGTGGCACAGTCGCCTTACGTCCGACATTCTTGTGTGGGCGGGGAACCTCTGCCTTGCTTCTCCCGGCTACAGAACTACCTTAATGTAGGGGCCTTATAATAATTAGAATAGGGGTCTATTATACTATACTTATAGTAGGGAACCCCCAAAAGGATAGGTAATTATATAGGCCCCTATATTCTTTCAAGGCTCCGTATGAGGAAGCACATGGGGTGGTCCGATGGCACCAGCAGTTGGCCCAACAGTCTTCTGTCCGAGCGGTGGGGCTCCGCTCGTCAAGACTACTGCTCTGGCAGGTTCCTATTCGACTGAACATCACTACCACTACTTGCCTAGAGAGTTCCACATCTCATATGTTTCTTCTGCATGTTTCAAGGTGTGTGTGGGTGCACCTGGCCCTTGTCAGGGAAACATGACGAACAAAAACCTATGCCGGTATGTACTTGCGTATGGCTGCATCGACAAGATGGAGGCAAAATTCCAAGCCTCGGAATCACTTTAACAGACTCGTAAGTGCAGAAGAGATGAACAGGTCACCAGCTTAACTTGCAACTTTTCAAAGTCATGTAGTGACCAATGTCCTTCGCGTCTAGTATAACTTGTTCTTGGGAAGACTGCACGGTGTCAGGGTTCTGGCGTGTGAATGCCCGCTGATTGACTGACTGTTCCCGGTCAATCGTGCATCAACTTCTCTGCCCGACTTGCCAAAGCCCCAAACCTGCAGCAAAACCACCGTTTACGATGCAGGCTGCCGATGGATCATCTGCTGTCTTCCATGACTGGAAACTTGTATCTCCCAATGCTATGGTCTGGAGTGGTAGCATCCAAAAGTCGTAAGAAGCGCAAAGGTGAACAGCAGCGTTCCAACTGTTCAGCCTGCGCCATCGGTCACTAGCAGCCTACCGAGGCAGGATGCGCCATTGCCCGATCCTGGACCCAACTGTTCGCTTCAAACTGGTGGCGTGGTGGCTATTAGTTAGCACATACTACAGTGAATAACACAAAATGAAAAGTATAGTAGTGGTGGTAGCAGCAGTTGTAGCAGTGCTTCTAGTAGTAGTAGTAGTAGCACCAGCAGCAGCAGCCGCGGTAGTAGTAGCAGTAGAAGCAGGAGTCGGAAAAAAGTAGGAGTAGGAGCAGCAGTATGAGTCGTGGTAGTAGCAGCAGGGTTGGTAGTAGTAGTAGTAGTAGTCGTCGTCGTCGTCGTAGTCGCATAGTGGTCGTGGTAGTAGCAGCAGCAGCAGCAGCAGCAGCAGCAGCAGCAGCAGCAGCAGCAGCAGCAGTAGTGGTAGTAGTAGTAGTAGTAGTAGTAGTAGTAGTAGTGGTAATCGTAGTCGTAGTCGTAGTAGTAGT